AGGATTTCCTGCAAGATCCAGGCTGAGATTGGCAGACAGGATGCCGGACGGAGGATCCAGCCTGGTGAGCTCGTTGGCGGAGAGATCCAACAGCACCAGTTGGTCCAACGGGTGAAATTCCCCAAGGGTGATGTCAGTCAGGCTGCAGTTCCTCAGGGAGATCACGCTCAGCTTGGGTCCCCAATGGAAGGATCTCGGGGCAACGCATCGGATCGGGTTGTTTTCCAGGATCAACCTCTCCAAATTTTCTAGGCCGCTGAACATGTCTGGAGAGAGACGATGGAGGCGATTGGAGGAGAGATCTAGAAAGGTCAACTTCTTCAGCTTGGAGAAACAGGAAACGGGGACCTCCTTCAGCTGGTTTCGGTCAAGGCTCAGGATCTTAAGTTCCTTCAGGGTTTCGAACCAGGACGCCCGCAGCTCAGCCAGTCGGTTTTCACTGAGGGATAAAAGCGTCAGGTTCGTCGCATCGGTGAAGATCTCCGGGAGTAGATCTTCCAGGAGATTGGTGGACAGATCCAGGGTGTGCAGTTCTGGGAGGTTACGGAAGAGGCCACTGGGAAGGGTCTCCAGCCTGTTGTTGGAGAGGTGAAGTTCCTGGAGGTTTGGGAGATCTTGGAGGGTTTCCACGCCAAGGCTGGAGACCTGGGTGAACTCAACGGAGATCGTTTTAGTTCGTACAGGGAAGCCGGCGGGAAATTCATGGAGAGATGGGGAGTTGCAGACAAACTCCGTGATATTTTCTGGAGCAGGGTGGGGTGGGCAGTAAGGAACCTGCTGGGTGTAGCTGTTGAAGGACATCACAAGGCAGATGATCAGAAGAGGTGGAACCGGAGACTTCATCCTGTGGAGAAGCAGGGAGAGGGTCAACTTTAACAAAAAAAAAAATACTCCTTTGGTCATTTTAGTTGCCATCAGAAAGGGAGTGGGGGAAGGCAGTGCATTCCTCAAATGCCTTAGATAATCGCCTTGCCAGCTTTTTATTTTTTAAACTATTACCATCTGGCAGACGGTGCCGGATAATAAAAACAAGGACAAATAGGTTGGAAAACAGCTTCTATCCCAGGGCAGCAGCTCTGCTGAATTCTACTGTATAGAGTGCACTATTAATGCAACCTCAGGAGTTTTCAATTCCACTGTGTAGTATGGGAAGGATGTGCGTT